GAAATAAAAACGTAATTTTAAAAGTGAAAAATTTGAATTTTAAAAGCAATTAAAACAAACATTAAAACCGCATAAAAATTGGCATTAGGTTAAATACACTTACTTAATTATAATTAAATGTTATTAATGAGTCGATAGCAATAATGAGAAGTATCTTATTATGAAAACTGATAACATTATGAACGTGTTGCTAATGATGAGAAAAAGTATTTTATTGTGAAGAGCGATATTCAAAATTTAATTTTCTTACTTTTTAAAGATATCTTAAAAAACATTACCTTGTGAATAAAGAAAATGGTAAGATATATCAGAATATAGAATGTAGATTGCTTTGTGGCATAGCTATCGTGTGAATAAGTTTTAAATACTAATTTTTAATAGCAGTAATGTATCAGTAATGCTATTATAATATAAGTTATTTATCCAGCTTTCTTAGCGTGTCTTCGTGGTGTGGTGGTTCTGCACGGTGGGCTGATATTCCAAAGGTCCGTGGTTCGATTCCCGGCGAAGGCGATTGCTCATTTTCTAACTTGCCAGCTTCCAAAAAATACCTAATATCTCTACAGTGGTGCCCAAACTAAAAGAGTGTTTGATGATGATTCTCCTCACCCAGGATTTGGGGACTGGTTCCCCTAAAAACCCCAGTCACTCTTTAAAAGGGGGAGTATATAAGGTATTTCTCCCGTTCTAACGTGCCTTCGTGGTGTAGTGGTTCTGCATGCTTGGCCAGTATTCCAGAGGTCCGTGGTTCGATTCCCGGCCAAGACGATTGCTCATTTTTCCCCTTACTTGCTTCCAAAAAATACCTAATGTCTCTACAATAATATTTCAAGCTGATGATTAAAAAGCTCGAAGAATTTTCCTAGCAAATTCATATCAGTAATATTATTTCATAGGCAATGAAAGTGTTATGAAAGATTAAAAATGCAAAATTTGTGAACATTTCTAATAAGTAGCAAACAAGGATAATCTAAATTTACAGTTAAATTCGAGTTTTTAAAAATGATTCTCTAAAGTATAATATCTAAAGTCTAAATATTTTACAGTGCTGTATGAAACCTCAATGTTATCTCTACTTATTATTAAGACAATAAATGTAGCTTCATTTTCTGAAGAAAGTGTTTCATAAGTAGGCTATCTCTCGATGAATATTATCCTTATAATGCACCTTTAAAGAATGACTTCGTCAGGTTCCTCAAGGAACTCACATTTTCTGAATAGCTAATTTGACTAGTAAGTGTCTTTACGTTTTAATAAAATCTAATGTTTCTCACGGGAAGAAAGAATTTCTATTTATATAAAGTTTCTATTCAGAAAACAATTTTAGAGTTTCATTATTTTAATTATAAATCATGTTAAATCACTCTTTAAAAGTAAAGTTTACAGACACCAACTGTACTATTTGTTTATTGCAATTGCGAAATTATACACTCCCAGACAGCTAAGTGAGTTATGCAAATATATGCTGCGAAGCGATAATAGTAAAAGTTAATCTGTATAGTTGAAAGCTATGTTACGAATGAGCTCAATATAAAGATATTTTTATTTTGAAAGACTTCAAACTGAGCAAACATACATCAAATGAAAGTTTGCAATTTGATAGAATGCGCATGGTCTGTTTTCTGAAATGTCCGTAAATAAAAACAATTACATATTATTGTCATATACAATATTAACAGGAAACAAAAACGTAATATTTAAACATATCATTTTTAAGATAAATCGCTTCCAAATGTATTATATTATAGGGTATAATACCATGATCTTAAGAACGTTTAATTAAATAATGTTGCTTAGAGCTATTTGGATGAATTTCCAGGAAACAGCATAAAAATAAGAATCTTCGTAATAATATTAAGAAAGTAGTTACTGTTTATAGTTTTACCGTAATCATAGCACTTATTTCTAGAGTATGAAAAGTTTAAACGAACGTAATATTTATTCTGTTTTAAGAACTAATTTAAGAAACCGAGTAATTAGTTTCGAAATAAGATGAAATTTTATGAAAATCGCATATCTATCTATCTATCTATCTATAGACACACACATATATATACAAAGTTAGATAGATAGATGTGTGTATTCTTTACGAAGACTTATTCATAATGACATTATTGATAACACTCATAACTATTATTTCTGATTATATTATTCAAATATAACAGTGATAAAACATAAAGTTATAAAAGTAAGTAAAAAGGCCGCAGAGATAATTCGATATTTTTCAACGGAGTTCCAGGTCAATAGATGTTTAAACTCTAAATAAAAGTATAAAAATTGAAAATCTAAAGTTTAAAATAGAGAAACTAATAAGCAAATACTGGAACAATTTCTAGCAGAAATAAAACAAACTTTATTCAGTGGACAAATACAGTAAATCAGCCAGGAAAAGTTTAGCACAAAAAATTTAAATTTCTCACAAGAAAATGAGAATTCTAGCAAAACATGTGGAGAGGAAAACTGTATGACTTAACTTTTCTTACCATGGTAATAAATTTATTTAAGCAGAATAAAAGCAAAAGGATAAACTGTCTTCGAAAGTGTGTTTACATTAAAAGTTTAACTGAAATCAAATTTAATACAAGTGACCAGTTACAATATTTTCAGGCAATTTCCTTCCTGATTTGTTTCATTCGAAACCCATATCTTGCCCCCGCCCCCTTATCTGTAACTAAATGAGAGAATCTGATGCTTGTGCATCGCATTTCAATATAATAACGGAGTTTTAGATATTAATATTGTGAAGTTAAAATAAAATTTAAATAAAAAAAGTAAACGCCTTTTGATTGTTTTAAAGATTTTCATTTGGTTTATAAATTAACGCTTATCAAGCGCAGTCTTCTAGAGGGAATTTTATATTGGTGGCGTTAATTACACAACGCCACCAATTTCCAAGTTCCAATTTATGTCCGTTTTGCTTTCAACTCATTGCAATAACTGAAAGTAATCCTTTTCAAAGAAATAGTAATTATTATTTATATTAGGCATATCTTTAAATTAAAGTATACTATTTTCTATTAATTAGTTTAAATACTGGTTAAAATTTTAATAATTTGTGACTAACATAAGACGTAATGTGCGTAATAAAACGTAGCGAACAAAAAGCAGCTGTAAGTCCTTATTTGCACTGTATATATTTTATTTTAAATACAAATTCATGCTTTATTTTAAATTTATTGAAAATATTTTAGAATGAAATGTATTAATGAAAATGTATTTCCATACATTTTCATTATTCAAATAAAATTTATCTATCAATCTCTGCATATATCTTCTGCATTTCATTCTTTCTGCAGTTTATGTAGGTCACTTACGGTTCCCAGAGGGACATGGTAGTGAAGTTCTGTGTCTGAGCTCCTTTATGGTAAAGAACAGTAGAAACCTTTTGGATAGACATTCACAACGCGCTAAGTTTCTAATTTAATAAATTTTTAATTTATCCTGAATATTTTAATAATCTTCAACGAGGTAAGTATTATCTATAAAGGAGGAAATCTGACAATAAAGTTCCTGAGCGCCCAGGTTTAGTACTGGCATGCCAGTTAATTAGTGAAGGTTATCCTAAGGGATTGGATATATAGATGACATTTTACTCAAAAATTTGTTAAAAATGTGTTCACAGCTATAACAAATTTTATAGTTTACTTTTATTTAAACATCCTTTTATATTAAGCACGAACATATACTAAATATCTGAAAACATCCTTCTCAAGAGCAACTCACCAGTGATGAACTTAAAATCAGTATTTATCACCTTTAATGAATGAAGCGTACGAAATTGCAAAAGAAGTATATGAACAGGGATCCTCCTAACATTTTGCGATTGTTATATACGTAAGTAATGTAGATAAAATAAAAATTTTGATATATTAGCGAAGTATGTACGTATTATTTCTTTATTTTTATAAAAATCTTTTGGACTTCCAAGTAATGTGTAATTTACATTTTAAATCCCATATGTATATATTTAATTTAAATTTAGACTATCATTATTATCTAATAAAATACGAAGAATGTTGAAATGTGTATTGCAAGGAACTCTTATTTATGTAACTCCCACAGCATGGATGTGCAGATACAGTATAGTAAAAATAGGTCAAATAAAGACAAGTACTTTGAATATAATCATTAAGTAATATCAATTAACACTGTAAATTACTATTTACAAGAATTTTACTTCTGTCTGCCTATGAGTTTAAAAAATAAAACATACATATATGCACATATGATAAAAATATTTTGCATATTCATAACATTTTCATGCCAATTTAGATGCAATTTTTTTCATTATAAAAATTATTGCATTTATGGACACTGGTTTATATTATCCCTGAGTAAATCCTTTTCATACATGAAAGCATAAAATTTACAGTAATTCACAAGGTATTCATGTATAAGTGCAATTAAATTTAGCTAAAAATTATAAGCAAATATTTTTCACAAAACATATCTTTAAGTGCAAGTACTTACACAAAGTACTCAATAATGTATTTTATTGTAATTACATGTACCTTATTTCATTTTTTGCAGAAATTTTGCAAAAAGTCAAAAAAACTGTTTCTCTAGGTAATAATTAATAGTTTAAAATTAAAAGAAGCTATTGCTTTGATAAAAATAGGTATTTAAAAGTTCTGAGTTCTGCTGCTACGTATCAAATAAGCATTTATAAATACTAGAAACGAAAAAAAAAACAATAAAAGGTTTAAGTACTTTTAAAAAATCTGTGAAAATTCAAAATTCAAAAATCTTACTCTTGTAATATATTCTTATAACATTAGAGATCCCTTGATGCAGCATAATAGGCATTTAGGGTAAGTACTCAACTGTTCTGAAATAACTGAATTTCGTTGACCTAGTTTATTTCACAACCGCTGGGAAAAATTCTTTACATTCATTTTTTATATAAAAGTTTTGCTTTCTGGATAATTTCAAAGTGAAATGAAATACTGAAATTTTGCATAAGGAGGATCAAACAACATGCAATGAATTTTACAGTTTACCTTTATACACTCAAGGAAAAATAAATATTCCTGGCTGGATACCTAGAATCCATAAAGAAATGTTCTGTAAGTTTCCCCGAGAATATCCACAACTTGAGCACATTTTAAAAACTAGTGTAAAATTGCATCAGCATAATACATACATGGCTGTACATTGCATCACTATTAATGTTCGATATCATTCTGAGAGAGATCTGGTGAAGAAATTTCTTGGGAAAACTGGAAGAGAAAAAAAAAATCCTTCACGTGTTGCGCGAACTACATTTTCCATAGATACCATCTTGCAGTTCAAAACACGCGCTGTTATTTCCCCCCTCCACAGCGATGTTTTTTTTACCTTTTATATAACGAACCAGAGTGTTCTATAATGCGACCCATCTACGCAGGCAGCCAATAATAGTGCTGGATTTTGGGTAAGATAGAAAAAAAAAGTTGATTTGAAAGGGTTAGAAAAGGTAGAAAAGGATTTGAGGTAGTAAAGGCCATGAGCGGGCTTTTGTTGCTTATTCGTTCACTTGGCCAATGACCTAAGTTCATTCGCAATGCAGGTCAAATGTTCACGTCGGGATGTTAACATAATTTTGTCCTGCTTTTAGGTGAGAAAGGCTTAAACTCTCTCGCATGACATGTAGCCTATATTAGGACTTATCACCGTACGTCTAGTAAGAACTGAATAGAAATATTTTTTTCTGAAATAACTATTCTGCTTTCTTTACAACATTTCTGCACACAACCAAGTTTAAGATTATACATATACACATTTATTTTAACTTTCCGTTTTCAGTCCATATGTGCCGGAATTCGAGGATTATTTTTTCATCTATACAAACAGTAAAAGAACTTCTAGTTTGAAATAAAGTTATAAACCGTTACTTTAAAACATAATGCTAAGCAGCTTGCATGCCGATTAGTAATGATTATAATTGCGATGAATACATGCTGTCTAATCGAACTGCAAATTTTTTAAGCAGAGAAATCCGCTAATTAAAACCAGCCCTCTAGGCAATTTCTTTATGCACACATTAATTTGTTTCATACTTATAATTCTATAAACACAGCGACACAGGTTGATGCTGAGAATTCCAGTCATCAATACGTTGATTTATTACACGTATTATCTGCACATAATGAGATGCAAAATATACAAAACGTAATGAAGACATTTATAGAACGTGAAATTTAAGCAGAAAATAGTCTTAAATTGTGATGGATTTTACTTTGAAGGCGATTGCCCTGGTTCTTTCAGGAGTAAATCATTCTACTCACACTTTCGAAATCAGCGGAGTTCATATAAAATCTGAGCTAATTCACTCACTTTGGCAATAAATGTAAATGTAATAAATAAATCAAGTTATATACATGTATAAAATTAAATAGTAAATGAACAAAATTAAGTAGTCAATTTAAACTCATATTCCACTGAAATGGCAAGCTAGACCAATAAACAAGCAAACCAGTGAGTAGAACTACTGCATAAAACTGAGAAAAGTGATACACAAACGAAAAAAGTCTGTTACAAAAAATCAAAACTTCAAAGTACCATAAAAATTAAAAATGGTAATTTGCATTTCTGGTGCCATCTTGGTTGGGGAGGGAGAGTGTGCACACACAAACCGGTTTAACTATCGTTTTTCGAATTTATTGCATTTTCTTTATTATACATATAGATCTAAATATATACACCTAGCACTGGTGTGTATTCTCTGTTAATTTTACACTTTACATACTTTTTTTTACTTTGTTTTAAACGCGTGAATCAGAATATTTTGTTTTTGAAAAAGAAGGATTTACGTTAGCCGCCTTCAAATATTTTTTAATATAAATTTTTATATAAATATTTAAACAAACGAATTTTACATAAATCTTATTATTCGGAATAACAGAAAGTTAACATAGGAAGGTTAACAAGTATGGATTTTCGTACATTTCTTACTAGCAATTTTTATAATATAATACCCTCATCAAAAAGGGAAAACATAAAGAGCTTCGGTTTCCTGCCTCTAAATAATTATATAAAATATTTATTACGTGTTTTAAATGTAAGTTAAATGCACAAATAAAATCAACATTATTTGCAGAACATTTTATTGCTACAGCCAACCATCGAGTATAAACATGTAGCTTGAGAGAATTTTCCCAACTAGAGGAAAAATTTGTTTCCAATTTGAATTTAGATGAACAGGTAATTGATAAATATGGATATTATTGATTTTGTAACCTCGTATACACCATTAACATAGATATAAGATTATTGTATAATAGTACTGTTAATAAATTGCATACTTACGCTATATTATGGCAACTAAATAAATGCTCAGATTATATAAAAATCATGTACACCGGACCATCAGTATGTTATTTATGTAGGAAATGATCATCAATTGGCTTACATGGGTTTTATAACAGTTAAGAATTATAGAATCATTAAATGAAATGTTACTGGCATTAATCAAACCAAGTCGATCAACATGAAAAATCGTTTAATAATAAAAAATTGAACCTTGCTTTCTAACACGGGCGGACAGAATCATCTCCAGATTGCATCAAATATTATTGTTCAATAATAGAGGCTTAAATATTATAGTTATAAATGTTTTTATTTTGGCTTTTCTCCTTTTCTTACGCAAGAAATTTTTTGATATGTTAAAGGTATCAAAAGAACTAAGAAGCAGTATTGAAACATCCATAATGGAATATCAATCATATAACCTGGATTTCTTACATTACATAAGAAACTCAGGCTTGTAGCTGTATCCTGTAGCTGTTTCAGACCTGCAGCTGTAGCCTGTAGCTGTAGCCTATAGCTGAAACTCAGGCCTGTAGCTGTCTAATGAAGGTGAAAAAATTTGCTAACTTATAGATAGAAGTACTGGTACTGTTGTTATGAATGAAACTAAAAGGACATTTAGAGTTTTTGGAATCGAATAAGCAGTGCACAAGATTTGCGTTTTATTTAACCTTTGGTTTTTAAATTTCTGTAATAAGTTACCTTATGCATGTAAATGCTTTTCTCTTTCTTCTTTGAAACCCATGATGATAACTATTAAGTTTTGATTAAATCTGCAATGTTTCCCTCTGTCTTTTGGCTTAGACATACAACTTGAAATACGTTTCAGAACTGCTAACTTCAAACTTAACAATTTAAGCTTTAAAAGGATTTTTTCTAAATCTGGCACTCACAATTTAAGAATAATAAAGTAATTTAATGAAATTTAAGGAAAATAAAGGCCACGACTGTCAAATATAAGTTTAAGTAGAATAATCCAAAATTTCTTTTCACACTGAATTACGAATACGAATAAAAGTTATTCCAAATCATTCAGGTTTATATTTATTTATCGTTATTTACCTACCATATTTATCATTCATAAAACTTTTCTTCTACTCTCATTTTAAAAAGCATAGGACATTAAATACTTGTAAATTAAGATAAAAATGTAGAAACATATCCAAGCCTACTTCTGCAACAACTTTAAAGAATCTTAAACTTATCAGATCCATACCGATCAACAAAGATTGTTTTACAGAATAAGTAAGATGTTTCCCATACATTCGTATATGATAATCTTAAATGTGCATTCAGATCTTTATTAAATCACTCGTAGTTTTACGACCAGAGGCATGTGATGACATCACTTATCGATTTCGATTATAATGAGAAGGTTTTCATAAATATATTGATTGATTGATTGAAATTATTTCTATGGATATGAGATTTCAAGTTGCAAGACATGTCTTTATATTTCTATTCTTGAGAAATTTTATTCTTCATTTTATGCTTTTATACATAGTTTCTAGTTCTCTGCTAATTATTACTTTATCCAAAATGCAATCATTAATAATGTGAAAATATTGCATTAGCAAATTTACCTCTAGTTGTCAAAATGAAATAAACCTGTGAAAGTTTTAAAAATCCTCCTGTAAATGATTCGGTATGAAAAGGATCAATACGATATTCGTTACTATTTAAAACAATTGCACTAATTTTCTTGGTCTTGACTTCACATACTGTTAATTTTTTCAAATAACCATGGAATCCATTCACTCGTTTAGTCAAAGGGAACTGTGTAAGAAAGCTTGTCGTCATCAATATGTCACATATAGATTCTGAAATTTTACATGTCTCCTTATGCAGATTTTATGCTATGAAACGTGAAGTATTTCATTTGGATCCACAAGCCTGAAGAATAAGCTTCCTAGCGCAAAGTGGTGGCAAAATAGGAGAAGATAGTTTTTATAAAATCGCATATTAAAACAAATCATAAAGTTCGATCAGCACTGGAATCTATCTAAAGAAATGGCATGTAGTCTTGCAAGAATGTTTGAAAATGTTTTTGGAAGATGGGGTGTAACCATGTAACTACCAAAACACGCAGCATATTCTTTAAGTAAAGTAGCATTCTTATTTATTTAATTTTCTTTTCTTTTAATGAAGTAGTGAGCGATGTGAAAAATACTGTGAGCAGTTCCACTAGAAAATGTTTGATCCCGACAAACTTTCAAGTCAGAATATTACTGAAATTGCGTCAAGTTCAGAATGTTGCTCACATACACTGGACCACAGAAATGTTCCTTACAAGAAAATTCCGTATGCGATCTCCTTGCAGATTATTTCTTTCCACGATGCGCGTAAAATTTAATGCTTGCTGATATATGTTTTCATTATGTGTCGCAAAACTTCTGTTGTGTGATATGAAAAGTTTGATTATATATTTTAATTCAGCAGTAGAAATGTAAACTTCGATTCTCTATTACAAGGAAAATGTAAGCATTTGCTACTCTTTTATTATGCATGCTAACATAGGTTAAAAATATATGCTTCATTCGTTTTCAAGGTCAGGCAGTTAGAAAGCTTTCAGAGATATGATTTTTAATAAGTTATTTTAATGATTTCACTATTTCTAGTGATGGAAAGCAGTCGGTATAAAAAAATATTCAACTACTGCAAAACTAAAAATTAACCATCTGCAAAACTTTTTCAGCATAATTTTAAATATAATTACTACTTGTTCTACTTTTAACCTGAGTCCAATAAATTCACGAGTAAATAATTCTGTGTGAAGTATGCGCATTCAGTTCTAATTTTTTTGCTTTTAATAAAAGCATAAAAATTTTATTAAATACTCCAAAATATTTAATTGTTAATGCAAAATAAATTTAAAAATATTTCAATTGCAATTTTTCAAATACAAGACATTTTTCGAGGGAATTTCTATATATTGACTGCCTTGATATGAAAAAGGTACCGCTTTCCTTCTTCCTTTCTTTTTACTTCAAAAAGTTTAACAATTTTAATTTA